AAAACATGTGATAGGCATAAAAGTGAAACACAATTAGAGAGATAGAGACAGGTCCAACTGCATCTTGCATATATTATAGATAAAAAAAATTGAAGGCCAGAGAATTTGAGTGATTTGACTAAGGGCAAACAAGAGGCAAAGGTAGAACTGAAACGAAGGTTTTTATTTTCCTAGTTAGGTGTTCTTTTCACTAAACCATCCTGCTGGTAGGCAAACTGTGGCTCGCGAGCCACATGCAGCTGTTTGGCCCCTTGAGTGTGGCTCTTCCACAAAATACCACGTGCGGGCACGCACGTACAGTGCGATTGAAACTTCGTGGCCCATGCGCAGAAGTCGGTATTCTGTGGAAGAGCCACACTCAAGAGGCCAAAGAGCCGCATGTGGCTCATGAGCGGCAGTTCGCCGACCACTGGTAGGGGATTGGCACATGTGGGAGATAACCTTCCTTTAAATAGTAGGACTCTGTGGAGAAGTTAAGTAAATTGCCTCCAGATTACATATCCAGCTGAACAGCTGTGGCGATATTGATACTGAGCCCATGTCCGTGGAATACCTTGTCTATGGCTGCTAGGCTACTCAGAGCCCCTTCACTTGAGAAGATACAATACTGGAGCTGAAACGAATGCCATCCTTTCCTCAGAAGCACTGCACTTCTTAGGACCCATCCTAAGAAGGGTCCATAAACCACGGGGATTATCAGGGATGTGAATGAAAAAGCAGGGTTTTTGTGTTTGTTTTTTTGTCTCTATATTTGCCTTATCTAGCTTCAGAACAGAGCCAGCTGAATCTGAGGACCAATTAGTGAAAAATTAGAAATGCAGGGAACTAGAAATATATTGTAATGAACTAAGAGTTAGGAGGTATGGGTTCTAGTCCTCGCTCTATGACTAATGATGATGTTGGCTGTTATTTTTTTCCCCTAAGTATTTTTAATTGAGAGAGAGAGAGAGAGAGAGAGATGGGGGAGAGAGAAAGAGAAAGATCAATTTTATTGTCCCACCTATTTATGTATTCATTGGTTGATTCTTGTATGACCAGGGAGAGGGGATCGAAACTCCTGCACGTCCCCTGTCGGGGATCAAGCCCGCAATCCAGGCATATACCCTGACTGGGAATTGATCCCACAATCAATCCCACAATGCTCAACCAACTGAGCCACACTGGCCAGGGATGGTGGGTTGGCTTCTAACAAAGTACTTTACACTTCATTACATTTATAAAATGAGGAGGCTAAATGAGAGGCTCTCTAAGGCTACCATAATATAATTTTCTATGATTCTAGGTAGCCATCAATTTGCAGGAAAAGGCAGACATGAAAAGTAGAAGGTAAAATGAGCTTTGGGAAACCGCATTGCCCTATTTAAAGGCTCAGTAAATTCTATAATTTGGGTTTTTGTTTATGGGACTTTTTTTTAAGTTGAATTTATTGAGGTTAACAAAATTATATAGGTTCCAGGTGCACAATTCCACAACACAGCATCTGTACAATGTATTATGTGTTCACCACCCCAAGTCAAGTTTCCTTCATCACCATTTATCCCCACTTTACCCTCCTCCACCTCCCCGTATCTCCACCCTCCAGGACTTTCTTATAAGAGGACATACGAAATTCAACAAAAAGAATACATAAATCAATGACCAGTTTTAAGAAACAGGAAAAGGGGTAGGAGCCTACTCTGAAGGCTTTCTTTCAAAGAAAGGAGACATTAGAACAAGGTGCCAAGAGGCAAAGAAAATGTTGTAGCATTGGGAGGTCTGAGGCAATCCAAAGAGATGATCCAGGTTTTTTCAAGAACCAGCAGGGAAGTCAGTTGAAATGCAACGAGGACAATACTGTTGAGGACGACAAGAAGCGGATGACAGCTCAAACCAGCACCAGCTGGTACAAGAGTATCCTGAAAATATGATATACAAATTTTTAAGGCTCTGTGTGCCTGGATAGTGTGAAATCCACAATGGGAGTAAACCAGGACTTTACTAACAGAGAAGGAGCTTTCTTTCACCCTTAAAATAAAGAGGGAATAAAATAAGAAACAAGTTTCTATGAGAGTAACAAAAACTATTAATTAATTTGAAAAGATAAAGAAATCCACTCTCATCATTTAGCAAAGGAAAGAAATTCTAGTTTGCAAGAAGTATTTAAGGCAGTTCTGGAAAAACTATAGAACGGAACGTCCTCTTAAAGTCATTTCTAACCTCAAGATTTTTTTATTTTGGTTTAATCCCCAATGTGCTTCCTTGAAGCGGGAGGCCTTGCTAATTTGACGTAGTGAAAGGCCTAGTTAGTAAGAAGTAATGCCAGTGAAGATTTGCAAGTAAGCTTTAGCAAACGTATCTTTAATCAACTGAAAAATCCCTTACTTAAAAGTATAATTAAAACTTCTGAAGTGCTACTAATGTTCTTTCTTGTCATGGGTGTTACTTTGCTTGATAATAATCATTGAATTAGGTACTTAACGAACTTTTCAGCATGGTGGCATAGTATGGTGGTATAGTTCACAATTATTTTTAAAGGATTTCAAAAATAACAACATAACAATTAAAGCTATTCTTTCCACGAACTATTTACCCATATGGTGAAACCAAAGGCTGAAGTCAGACTGTCTATCACGAAAGCCAGTCCCTCGTGGAACATTATCAGTATCTGGCGTAGCTAAGGAATGATACTGACCAGGGCCAGAAACCCACCCACTTTGGCTCCTCTCCCCCAGGCCAGGGCCACTGAAGTCTGAGACATTAGATATTGTCTACGGGGCAGGGATCATGGGGAAGGCATGAAAAGGAACACTGGGGCTCTGACAGCGAATAGCTCTATATGTTTTTCATATATTAATTCAGGCTCAAAAAAGAAAACTTAATTTGTATATGAGTTAGAAAAATCAAGAGTTCAAATAAAAGTGAAGAGGTTTTAGCCATCTGAAAGGCAAGGGTCCACAGGGCTTTCCCTGTCTGCTTATGGGTATGAGTACTTTCTGAAAAAGTTATACCAACTGGCCAAACTTATTTAAGTAGGCACAACCTGAATCCTGCAAGTTATCATTCATTTATAGTTCTAATAAGGACATGGATGCAAGTGTAGGAAAGAGGAAGAAAATATATTTCAAAACTTTACAACTAAAATATTTTTCTAAAAACAGTCGAAGTTTCTATGCTCCCTTATTCACTCACCCAGAAAGTAAGTTTGCCTCCTCTCTCACCCACGTACCCCTACTCGCAAAGGCCCATGTAAAAAAGTTAAACTTCAAAAAAGGGAAGAGTAAATGGGGAAACTGATGACAGTTTATGAAAACTGCTTAGGTCCAGAACTTGGTATCTGAAAAAAAATCCTTAAAAATTATGTCCAACTTCTCAGTTTCTGGATGAGAAAATTTAGGTCTATCGATGTGCAGTGACTCGCTAAAGGGCATGAATTAGTTTTGAGAAGTTTGTTTCTTCACTTATTACTTTCTTTTCCCATAAATTACTTTGTAGCTTGAAAAATACATATACTAAAAAAAGAAAAACAGAAATAGTAAGCATGGTAAATTATGGTAGAGTCAGGATTTATTACATCCAGTCTACTGTTCTTTATATTATGTTGTGTTCCTTACACTTTCTAAATTTCCCAGTGGAAGATATAAGCTACTGGTTCCACTTTTTCCTATTAGGTAGGACCATTTTGTGTAGAGAGTGTCTTAAAAGCTTTTGCCATCCTGAACTAAAAGTGCTTCCATAAGTATAACTAAGTCAAAGAGATCTAGTGGCCTGGTCTTACTTCTGTCCCATAATTAAGCCAAAGAAACGGAAATTTCTTCTAAAATGGAAATACTAAAAGGAGATTTAATTAAAGGCAGTTTTGTTAATAAAGGCAGTTTAGTTAAGCTTTATATTTATAAAAATATAATTACACAACCCCCCCTCTCCCGAATCTGGAAAAACAATTGATTTAATTACTTAAATGACATCTGTTAAAAGAGGGATCCCCTAAAATGGTATCCACTGTTAGTCCTCACTGTTCAATGGCTAATTGCTTGGCTGGTGGGTTATCCGGGGGATCTGCTTCTCTACTTGTTGCCTTGTTTTGTAAGTTAATCATGAGGAAGAAACCCAAGGTTTGGTCGATTATTTGTTAGGGAGTTTTGAAATTCGACCAAGTGAAGATTGGGATTTCTTTCACCTATGCTCCTTACTAGCAGGAATAACAGGATAGACTCTAATGCAAGAATCAGTGCTCGCTCAACCCAGACAACTGTGTAACAAGGCCAAAGACCCAGAGTTTCTCCTCATTGACCCAGTTTGGCTTCCTCTATTCTATTCCTGTGCCCAGTAGTGATGCTTCAATGTAAAACATAGAGCTGGTAAGAGTACAAATCTATCATCTCCACTGTATTAACAGGCTGTGTTAATGTCACAATACCAACACCAACCTTATTTTTATTTATTTTTTGCTAATCCTCAGCTGAGAATATTTTTTCCATTGATTTTTAGAGAGAGTAGGAGGGAAGGAGGGAAGAAGGGAACACATTGATTAGTTGCCTCCTGCACGTGCCGGCCATGGATCAAACCTGCAACCCAGGTCCATGCCCTTGATCGGGAATCGAACCTGAGACCCTTTAGTGCACACCAACGCTCTGACCATCGAGCAACACTGGCCAGGGCCATCTTTATATTTAAAGATAGAATTTTGAATGTGAGTGTGAGATTCTTTAGGGCTATACCATCTTTTACTATGTCATCTTTCTTGGACTCTATTAAATACTTCCATTCCATTTATGTCCTCTTCTTCTAATCTGGGCAGGAGCCAAAAAACATAAGTCTTATTAAGAGAGTTCAGAAGTGCCACAGCCCACAAATGACCCTTAGCAGCAATTAAACTGAAAAATAACCCCCATGAGCCAGAACTGCAACGAAAGGTTAACTACTTATCCAAACTCTGGCAAAGAGGCAGCTCTTCCTCCCGTTTGCCCCGAGCCTGCGAGGAAAGGGGATGTGAAGCTGTCCCTCCACCTCCTGCCACTCACTTTCTGCGTCAGATAGTATGGGTCAAAGTCCTCCAAGGGCACAGCGACCAGGCCTTGTGGGATGTCCCCATAGATGAAAGGCAAACTCTTCCCGGCTTCCAGGTCACTGTTGGGCTTGGGCTTGCTGTCCTCATCGTCGTCCCGGTGGCTGCCATCTCCCTTTGGTGGTTTCTTAAGCTTGCTCTCGGCAATGCGCCTCTCGATGTTTGCCAGCGACTCGGGAGTGAAAGGCTTGAAACTATCAGGGCCTGGTGGTGCGAGCAGCCGCCCTGCCATCTTCTCATCCTGCAGCAGCTTCGTTAGTTATGCTGCGTCCAGGACAGGCCAGCTCTGGAAGGAAAAGCAACACAGACAGCATTCATCAATCACTGCTCGGAAAGGAGGACAGCCTAAACCGTCTCCCTCAGCCTATACCCACAGCCTCTGCATCACATCGTTTCTTCCATGACATGGTTACACTTCTCTTCAGAAAAATCTGCGGCGTGAATGGATTAGGTCATGTCATAACCACCCCTCAGGGGAATGATCAGCCTGAAGATCAAAAGATGGGAGTTTCCTGAATGCTGGTATTTATTATTCACTTAAGATGCAACTCATTGCCCTAACTGGTCTGGCTTAGTGGCTAGAGCATCGGCCTGTGGACTGAAGGGTCCCAGGTTTGATTCCGGTCAGGGGCATGTACCTTGGTTGCAGGCACATTCCCAGTGGGGGGTGTGCTGGAGGCAGCCGATCGATGTTTCCCTCTCATCGATGTTTCTGACTCTCTGTCCCTCTCCCTTCCTCTCTGTCAAAAATCAATAAAATATATTTAAAAAATTTTTTTTAGAAAACAGAAAAAATGCAGCATTTTCATTTTTTCTCATCGATATTTCTAACTCTCTATTCCTCTCCCTTCCTCTCTGTAAAAAAAAATCAATAAAATATATTTTTAAAAAAAGATGCAACTCATTGTTAGGAACCACATATAACTACTGCACAGAAATAAATTCCAGCCCTGACCAGTTTGGCTCAGTGGATAGAGCGGCGGCCTATGGACTGAAGGGTCCTGGGTTCGATTCTGGTCAAGGGCATGTACCTTGGTGGCAGGCACATTCCCAGTGGGGGGTGTGCTGGAGGCAGCCGATCGATGTTTCCCTCTCATCGATGTTTCTAACTCTCTGTCCCTCTCCCTTCCTCTCTGTCAAAAATCAATAAAATATATTTTTTTAAAAAGTAAATAAATAAATTCAATATCCTCAAGGAACTTTTATTCTAAACTAGTAAGGCACATTTAATGTCACCCAGGCGTATGTGTTAGCTTTGGACAAGTCACCTTCCTTTTCTGGAACTCCATTTCCCAAAGAAATACTATAACTTCCAAGGACAACACAAGGGTAAATTGTCAGTCTTTCCAGCTTCTGAAAACACTAAACCTTTCAAAACTTTGGAGGCACAAAATAGAGACAAAATAGCTTCCATCTGCATTGGCTCTTCTGTTTCAAGGTATTTTTCAATTCACCAGGCTGTGTAAAATCCATCCAGTAGAAAAGCTCAGGAGTACCTTCTTTGATGACCAAGCTCCTGCCAGGGACAAACGCAAAACACTTTCCTCTGTGGAGAGGGCAGACACTGCTCTCCGCACCCCCACACAGCAGCAAGGAAAAGCAGACGGGAGAGGCATTTTAGAGGACTTCCTGATGCAACAGCATTGCAGCCCTGCGGGGTGAGTGACAGCAGAAAAGCCTCGTGCAACCCGAGAGGGGTTCAAAGCAGGAAGGACGGGAAGAGAGAACAGAGTAACAAACCACAATTCCCTTCTGAAAAGAAAAACTGAGGTAGTGCCAAAACAGAGCCAATGATTTCTAAGCATGGTATTTGACAGCAATTTCCATTTCCATTTACACAGGTTTATGGAAATCCATGCCTTGAGACAAAGGACTCCCTAATGTCAGAAGGGACACAGAGTTTGGTGACTGCACAAAAGGACCCTGGCAGGTGAGCCTAACCCTGAAAGCTTTAGGGTGTCACCGGCAGTTCATCAGGTCCTCCTGGCGCTGCTCTTCCTGTAGTTCGGTGAGCCCCACAAAGACAATCTGAGATTTTTATTTTTAAAGCTAGAGGTTGTTCTTTCCCTCCTCCGTAGCCCTCAGGGTCCACTTTAAGGCACCATCCATAAAACTCCAGGCTCCTCGGGAGAACAGTAGCAGAGTTAACTCTAAATAGTTTGGGAGTGAAACACCCAGGGGCTCCTTTTATAAGTACACCCGCAGAGACCCTAGCTTTCTCTAGTGGTGTGATCGCTACGCGTTGCAAAGGCAGTAAGCAGTGTCTACATGCAGGCTGGTCGGCTCACTCACAGCGCAGGACTAATGAGGCCAGAACCACAAGTTAGCCCCACGCAGACCTGTCAGCTTCTCGCTGTGCAAAACAACACGGTTCCACAGGCGGTGCGGTCAAATAGGTCGTTTGCACATATGAAGCATGAAATTTTACAGCTTTGAGGGATTACAGATCCAATCCATTTCATTTTACAGGTTAGGAAACTTGGGGACCTAAGAGGCTGGATAACCTGCCCAAAGACACATGGCCAGGATAAAAATCACAACCAAAGAGCTCCGACTCAACTCACACTCCTGCTATTATGACAAATACTAGGGGCCTGGTGCACAAGATTTGTGCCCTGGAAGGGGGGGCAGGGCGGTCCCTCAGCCCGTTCTGTGCCCTCTCATAGTCCAGGACTCCTCGGGTGATGTCTGCCTGCTGGCTTAGGCCCAATCCCGGGGGGATCGTGCCTAAGTCGACAGGCAGACATCCCTCTCACAGTCCGGGGCTCTCGTAGTCCAGGACCCCTCGCTCCTTATCACCCACCTGCAGTGGAGGTGGAAGAGGCTCCTGCCACTGCTGCTGTGCTCGTCAGCTGTGAGCCTGGCTTTTGGTTGAGCGGTGCTCCCCCTGTGGGAGCGCACTGACCAGCAGGAGGCAGCTTCTGCATTGAGAGTCTGCCCCCTCATGGTCAGTGCACATCGTAGTGACCGGTCGTTTCTCAGTTCAGTCAATTTGCATATTAGCCTTTTATTATATAGGATCAGTTATCTATCCTCCTATCCTACTCTAACTCCCAGTACTTCACAACAGGAAGCATCTGAGTCATTGAGTAAGTTACACGCAAAGACCAATAGTTTTACTAATCGAAGACTTCATTTACAATGTTTTCCCCAACTTAGAATTCCTTCTTCTTCATCCATTTCCTCCTATCTATCCCTGAATTGCCTCCCATAAATCCCCACTCCTCTACAGAGCCTTCCCACCAGCTCCCGCCTTTACTATTTTTCTTTTTGTGAACTCCTAAAGCTTTATCATGATCTTAGCTAACATTTATCATGTACTTACTATGTTTTAGGCATTGGTCCAAGCACCTTGCTTGTATTAGTTCATTTAATCTCCAGAACAATATATGAGGTAGATATTATTAAATTACATGCTAGAAAATGACATGGTCAGGACTCAAAACATCCTGCTCACATTTGTTTTGGCTTTTAATTATTGTTGAATTGCACCATATAAATTCCCAGAGGTCATGGGTGGTATCTTAAACTTCTTTTGTATCCTTCCACAGAGAATTGGATTATGTCTGGAACCCCAAATTAGTCCAAATCCCTGGGACTCCATGGTTCCCATAGCCACACTCATTTTCAACTTTGAGTCTCCCTCAGTTCCGACTTAAAGGACAAATAATACTGCAAGGAAGTCACTGAAGATGCTGACAAACTCTGTGACCTGTTATACACACCTGGGTTCTTCACAGGTAAAGTTGTCCAAGGCTAAGTCCTCTGCCTTTGCTTCCAGATCCTATTTCCTCCTGACTTCCCCAAGACCATGTTCCTTCAATTACCCCTGCTCTCTATGACATTCTCAATCTTTCCTTTTCCTCTCCTACTTCTGTATCTTCTCCTTTAATCTTCACCCCCACCACCCACTCTCTCTTCGTTTGCCTTAAATGATCCTGGTTCTATCCACATCTGCAGTCTCCTCTTCCCCTACAACCTTTTCCTTCTCTAAGGGCTGGCCTTCGGCAATCTCTCTGATACACTTTCTTTCAGGGATCTCATCTACTCAAAATAATCTGTACATGGGTGATTTTCAGATTCCTATCCAAAGAGCCCTGACTGTTCTTCTGAGCCCCACAACTGCTGTCACCACTGGGCTTGACCGGTATTGGTCAGTAATTGAGCGTCAACCTATGAACCAGGAGGTCACGATTCAATTCCCGATCAGGGCACATGATCAGGTTGGGGACTTGACCTCTACGAGGTAGCTGATCAATGATTCTCTCTCATCATTGATGTTTCTATCTCTCTCTCCCACTCCCTTCCTCTCTGAAATAAATAAAAATATATAATCTAAAAATAAAAAAAATAAACTACATGTTTTTACTTCCCAAACTGATTCCTTCTCTGGGCCTTCTAAATTCTGTTATTGGGGCCATCGTTTTTCCAGGCACCTAAGTATGGAACCTCAGTCATGTTTGCCCTGTCGTCTTTGCTGTCCTTGTCCAACCCATTCACCAGCCTTACTAATTCTTCCTTCTGAGTTTCCATTTAAAATAGCATCACCCAATAAGTCAGTCAGAGGAAGACAAATACCACATGATTTCACCTATATATAGAATCCAAAGAACAAAATAAACAAATTGAAGCAGACTCATAAACAGAGAGCAGAGTGATGGTTGCCAAAGGGGAGTGGGCTAGAGAACTGGGTGAAAAAGGTGAGGGTTTAAGAAGTACAAATTGGTAGTTTGTATTTCTTATGTAAGTATAGCATAGGGAATATATAGCCAGTAATATTGTAATAACTATGTATGGTGCCAGGTGGGTACTGGAAATATCGGGGGAACACTTTCGTAAAGTATATGATTTCCTAACCACTATGCTGTACACCTGAAACTAACACAAAATATTGAATGCAAACTGTAATTGAAAAAAAAAGACATTAAATAGTGAAAAACAAACCAAAAAAATAGCATCACCCTAATTCAGGTCACATGCAACAGTCTTCCACCCTGGACCAATCTTCAGTCCACCCAGCACATCGCCAAATGACTGTTTCCCTAAAAATATGCCTCCATTATGTCATTTCCCTCCCTCTGAACTGTCAGAGTTATGGACTGAATCCATTTCACTGCATTCAAGGCCTTTTACAACCTCACTTCTCAAGCATTTTCTTCCACTGCTTCCCTGCAAGAGCATCACTCTGGTAACTGTTTTGTTTTGGTTTTCTAGTTTGTTTTTCTAACGTAGAACATAGTACAAGTGAACAGGTCTTAAGTGTACAGACTGGTTATTTTGTGTGTGTGTGTGTGTGTGTGTGTGTGTGTGTGTGTGTATGTAACAATTACTCAGATCAAGATACATATTTAGCCGAAACCGGTTTGGCTCAGTGGATAGAGCGTCGGCTTGCGGACTGAGAGGTCCCAGGTTCGATTCCGGTCAAGGGCATGTTTTCCAGCACTCCAGATGGCTCTCTTGTCAATATCCACCAACCCCATACAATCCCAGCCATGGTTATCTGATATCCATCACCACAGATTAGTTTGGCCTGTTCTTGAACTTCATGTAAATGGAATATAAGTATACTCTTCAGGGTCTGGATTCTTTCTTTCAACATTATTTCTGTGAAATGAATCTTTGTTGTATGTGTAGCATGATACATTTTTTTATTACTGTGTAGTATTCTGCGTATGAATATAGAACAATTTAATTCTCCATTCTACTTGATAGACATTCTTGTGTTTGATTGTTTGTTCGTTCTAGAAATCTTTACCTATCCTTCAGTCATGAAGCTAATAGCCTATGTTTTCTTCTAGAAGCTTTATTGTTTTACTTTTCTTATTTATGTTTCAAATCATTTAAAATTGATTTTTGTATATCCTGTGAGATAGAGGTCAAGGTTAATTCTTTTGCTATGTGGGTAGCCAACTGACTCTGCCTCACTTAATAAAAAGTCGGATCACTGTTATTTTCATTGATTCCTAAATCTACTTTCATTTCCTTGTTTTAAATCTCCTGAAGTCTCTCTTTCCTTCTTACCTAAATTCTATTCATCCATTAAAACCAGCTTAAACTCCTTCTTCCTTCTGAGGAAATTGTCTTGCAAAAAGTAAAAATAACCCTTTTAGGACTTAGACCATATAGTCCAACTATCCTTACTGTAATAAACTTATCAGTAAATTAAATGAGAGAAGCTATATTGTCTAACTGCAAATTAGTGACAGATGCAGAGCTACAGTACACAGTTCTTGGCCTCCAATAAAATGCTCTTTTCCCATACCACTGTCTCTTAGGTAATTCGCTCTGTGCATCATCCCACTACTATCTCAGCTCTCTTCCTGCAGTGCTAAGGTGATGAACGAACAATGTAAGTGACTTTTAAGCCTGAGAGTTCCAAAAGAGACTGAACTAGACTCAAAGTTGGGGCCACAAATGATCAAGGCTCTCTTCCTTTGGTCATCCAGGAAGACTAAGATTTTAAAATGCTAGCTGTAGCCTGGACACATAAAAATAAAGATGAATCTAAATTAAGGAGAAAAGACCAGAAGAGAGAAAGAAAACTGGCACTGAGTGAGTTTGTAACAGGGAAGAAGGAAGAAAGACATCTGGGTAGAATTGTTAAAGGAAACACTTCAGGCAAGGGCACACAAGAAAAAAATGTCAGGAGCAAGTAGTATTAAAATTTGTCTCAGACTTAAAAAAGAACAAAATTGAATAACTCAATTTTGATATCAAAAGTTACTACAAATACAGTAACCAAAGCAGTGTGGAACTGACATAAAGACAGATATATAGACCAGAATAGATTAGGGAGCCTAGAAACAAACCCTCACGTATATAGTCAAATGATTTCAAAAGGTGCCAAGACCATTCAATGCAGGGACAGGCAGTGCTGGGAATAAATGGTGCTGGGAAAACTGGTTACCTAAATGCAAAAGAACAAAGTTGGACTCTTACCTTATACCATACAAAAATTAATTCAAAATGGGTAAAATATCTAAATGTAAAAGCTAAACTGTACAACTCTTAGAAAAATCATAGGGGAAAAGCTTCAAGACACTGAATTTGGCAATGATTTCTTGCATTTGGCACCAAAAGTGCAGCAACAAAAGAAAAATTAAAGAACAATTTGGACTTCATAAAAATTAAAAACCTTTGTGCATAAAAGGATACTATCAAGAGAGTGAAAAAGCAACCCACAGAATGGGAGAAATATTTGCAACTCATAAGAGTTTAATACTCAGAATACATAAAGAATTCCTACAACCCAACGAAAAACAACAACAATCAACCTAAGCAATGAATAAAGAACTTGACTAGACATTTCTCCAAAGAAGATATACAAATGGCCAATAACCAAATGAAAAGATGCTCAATGTGACTTATCATTAGGGAAATGCTAATCAAAACCTCAACGAGATACCACTTATACTCACTCGGATGGCTATTATAAAGCAAAACACACAAACAAAAACAACAACAGAAAATAACAAGTGTTTGCAAGAATGTGAAGAAACTGAAAACCTCCTGCTGCTATGAAAAACAGTATGATATTTCCTCAAAAAATTAAACATAGAATTACCATAAGATTAAACAATTCCTCTTTTAGGTATATACCCAAAAGAATTGAAAGCAGGGACTCAACCAGATATTTGTACACCCACAGTCATAGCAGCATTATTCACAATAGCCAAAATGTGAAAACAACCCAAATGTCCGTGGACAGGTGAATGGATAAACAAGATGTGCTACATACACACAATGGAATATTATTCGGCCTTGAAAAGGAAGGCAATTCTGACACATGCTACAACATGGATAAACCTTGAAGACATTACACAAAGTGATTAAACTAGATACAAAAATTCAAATATTGTATAATTCCATTTATATGAGGTACCTATAGTCAAATGCCTAAAGACAAAAAGTAGAATAGTGGTTACTGAAGGCTAGGGGAAGGGAGCATTGTTTAATGGGTAGGTTGTTTTCAGTTTGATATGATGAAAATATTCTGGTAGTGGACAGTGGTGATGGCTGCACAATGTGAATGTGCTTAATACTACTGCATTGTACACTTAAAATAATTAAAATGATAAATTTTATATTATATATATTTTACCACAGTTTTCTTAAAAAGAGAGGAAAAACAAAACAAACCGAAGACATTTACTGTGCCCTTACTATATGCCAGAGACCGTACTGATAATAATTATAACTACCTGCCTTCAGGACCTTTAAAGTCTTCTGGGGGGTGGGGGGGTGGTAGACAAGTAAACAGGTGAGGTACAGTATGACAAATCCAATCAAGAAAAATAGGCTTTTATAGACATACACAAGCAAGACGCCTAATCTAGTTTGGAAAGATCATGGAAGGCTTCCTAGAGAAAGTGGCATTTTAGCCAAAGCCTGAAAGACACTTTGTGGAGTGGGGATGGCAGAAAAACGGATGTCAGTAAGAAGTAGCATATACAAGACACCACAGACAAGGGAGAGCAAGCCGCTTGCATACTGCAAACAGTTCAGTGTAAGTGGACTTGAGACAATGAACAAACAGGTAAGCAGGTGCCACATCAAGAAGGTAAAGTCATTACCAGGGGAAGGAGTTTTTATTTTTATCCTGAAGGCAATAAGAAGACTTAAAGTTCTATTTCAGAAAGATCATTCTGGCTACAGTGTAGAGAATGGGGGGGATGGGGAGATGGGGTGGAGGTGAAGCAAGATCAGGGTGAAGAAGTGATTTAGTTGAGAGAGAATGATGGTTTGAACCTGGCAGCAGCATTAGGGATAATGTACCAAAGAGTCTTGTCAACTAACTGAAGTGGGGGATAAAGTAGAACAAAAATCCAGAAAGAGGCCCAGACTTCTGTTATGGGCAAATGAAAGGAGGTAGTAAATTCATTGAGACAGGAAATAAAATATGATGTACAGCTCAGGTAAGATGATGACTTCACTTTTGAACATACCAAGTCTGAGTTGCTTTGTTATATCCAAATAGAGACACTAAACAGGCAGGAGGTGTGTGGTTCTGAAGTTCAGGGAAAAGATTTAACAACTAAAAGAAGAGAGGAGAGGAAGCTTGATATAGAACTATAGCTAGGCTCGAAGGACTGCCAGTCAGCTCTCTGCATGTTGATAAATAGCTCATTTGGAATTAGCCAGAGGAGCAGTTCTGCATGGGGAGGAAGGTGGGCGGCTCTTATCACAGAAGAGAGAAATGCAGCCAGATGGTAAGTTTACACTGTCCCACTCCCCTCCTTCCTCCAGTGACAACCACATGCCAGGCTGCCAATTTTCTTCTTTGTCACTTACAGACTTCATTTTGGAAAATCATATAACAGTTCTAGAAATTGAAATAAAAACGATTTTATCAAACCTTAATTTTATTCATTTGAAACAAAAATTGCAGACCTGGGTCTCCCTTAATAACCAAAATCTGGCTCTCCCACCTACAAGTTCTTATGGCTCAGCCTCACCCTGGCGAACGTCATTCTTCTCATTGGCTTTCTACTTCATGAGACTCTCTGAAGTCTGTCCTTCCCAAGCTTCACACCAAATTTCCCCAAAGTTGAGCTCTTTGTCTCTGATTTTATATACCTGATCTCTTCCTAATCCATTTGAGACACATAATCCTGGCTGATTTACATTATGTCTTCCTGCAGAAATGCTTTGAGGGGTCTGTTTATAGAATATTTTGAAAGATGCCTACTATGGATATAAATGAAAGATTAACCATAATAATAATAATAAAAAGTCCATGATAAAGAACTCTATCAGAAGGTATTTGCAAAGTACCTTCATTTTTGAGTACTTGAATATTTTGACCTAAAGATGCTTTTAAATGAAGTTAAAACAATGATTATTATGATTTTAAATAGATCAGAAAGTGTCTCTGAGCAAGTCCCAGCAGCCCCAAATGAAGATAGTTTCCACCTTGTCTCTACAGTCATACAACTATCAAGCCTGCTCTGCTGTTCATCAACATATAGCCCATCAAGATGTCATCAGTCCTCCGCGGTCCTGGCACTGCAAACTCACTACACGCCAAAACTCCCCTCTATTTTGTCACCTATCCCCCACCACCGATTCCCCCCAAATGTAACTGGCTTCCCACATTTCCTTTACTTCTTCCACAAAGCACAGGAGCCTTTTCCCTGTATAACCACACGTTAACCTCCTTGTAGACGCTGGTTGTTGCTCCACATCTATTGTCATTCTCTTCACTAGTTTCCTGACTCAAAATAAAATACATTGCTTTTAATACTATGTGTTTACTGATTTTAGATGGAGGGGAAGTGAGAGAGGGAGGCGG